TCTTCATTTACTCTGTGTCATTAAGAGAGATGACCATGAAGAAAGCTGGGGTGTGGGGAGATTCAGGCCTTCCCCAAGGGCAGAGGCAGGCAGGCACCCAGGCCATTCTGTCGCTGGCCGGGCCCTGCAGACCCAGAGCCGGGGGTTCTCCTCGAGCTCTGGGGTCAGTCCCTGGGGTCATGGCACTTGTTTTTCCCAACTCCTGCTGGCCTGACTTGGGCAGCGCCGGGCGGGGTTGGGGGGCCGATGCCCCAGCTGACACCCACCTCCTCTGGACGACGGCACCTGGGGCTTCAGGGGTGGGGGGCACCCAGCCCAAACTGACTGCCGCCTTAGGGAGAGAGGGTCGGAGCCTAGCTGTCCACCTGTCGGCCCCAAGTGTTGGCCTGAGCAGAGAGTCCAGGCATGTGCCCAGAAGGCCCCCTGGTGGTTGTGCTCCCAAGCAACCGGCTCCTGCAGGAGTGGGAGGGAAGGCAGCAGAGGGAGCCAGCGCACCCTTTATTCTCACCAAGAGGGTGAGGTGGGGATTCAGGGAGCCCCTGGGGGAAGGTGGGTGTACAGAGGCCAGCAGGTGGCCCAGGGGCCCCCAGCTGAGGGGCAGCATGAGGGCAGTGACAGCAGGCGGCAGCCTTCAGCTTCCTCGGGGGCACCTAGAGGCCAGCCAGCCCCTCCATCCCTGCCTCCCTTCCTGCCCAGGCCACATCCCACCCAGGGAGAGCTCCCGGCCCTGCGGGGGCCTCCTCCGGGTGCCTGTGCCCCACACCTGGATCTGCCTCACCCCAGACACTATTCCGCTCGGATACCAGCTCCTCTATGTCAGGACGCCCTTAGGGGCGGGTTGTAGGCTGGGGATTTGGAATCCTGGACCAGCCCGGCCACCCAGGCTGGCAGGAGGGCTGGTCCGAACAGCAGTGGGCGGGCATCTCCTCCTGGGGTCTGCAGCTGGGGAGGTTTTCATTTCCTCGGCTCCTGGGGTGGGGTGGCCACCCCGCACAGTCTGTGCCAAGCATGGTCTCACCCCCAGGGTCAATGATGAGCTGGTGGGGTGCTACCCTCTGTCGCTGTGCTCGGGAGGACACCAGGCTGGGGGGCTTCCTAAGAAGCGGAGGCACAGGTGCGCCATGAGCCCCCCCCAGCAATGGCCTCCCTCTGGTGAGAACCAGGCAGGGGTTGGGGGCTGCAGAGGCCAGGCCTGTGGAAGTCTCCAGTGGGCTCAGGACTCGGGGCTCTGGATGGTGTCCGGCCAGAGGGCAGGGGTGAAATCACCCAGGAAGGTGCTCACGGGCAGGGGACCTGGGGCAGGGCTGGGCACAGCAGCTCCCACCCAGGACAGCCCGCTGCCTCCCAGGGCCTGTGAAAGGAAGAGGGGTTGTGGGAGTTTGGACAGAAGCAGGGGCTGGCTGGCTGAGCTCACCTGGAGTCAATGGATGTCGTGAAAGCCAGGTGAGGAGCAGGGGGATCCAGCTATTCAGGGCCTTGTGCCAGGCATGTGGGCTGAGGGAGGATGCCAGACCCCTGCCCTTCCTTCCCTGCCCGAGTCCCGCGGGCCCTGTCTCTTTGCAGGGGCCCCTGAAAGGGGGATCTTCTTCCCTGGGGCTCTGGGGGGTGGGCAGCAGGGACCCTGGGACAGGCTGGGGACCCTCTGTCCGGGCATGGCCCTCAGACTGCGGCTTCTTCAATGGGCCCCACGGGGAGGCTGGCCCAGGAGCAGGTCCAGGAGTGGCGGCATGCTCCTGGTTCTGAGATGCTCGCAGGTTGTGAAGCTGGGGTTGAACGGTGCCCACTGGTGTTGCAGGAACTCCGAGGCCTAGGGCTGAGGTAGCAGGAGGAGGCCCCACTTTCCTTTTGACTCACCGTCTTCTTTTTCCTCTGAAAGCCTCTCGTTCTGACCCATTTCTGGGCCAAACCATGGAGGCCCATTTCCCGGGCAGCGGGTTCCCATGACAAGGGCCCCTGGCTGCCAACCCAAGCTGGCAGATGTGTGAGGGGCCCTGGGGAGCAGCAAACCCAGAGCAAGGGCGGGGGGGCTCGTTCAGGTCCACCCAGGAAGGGAGCAGGCTGTGGGTGTGGGTGAGGCCTGGCACTGCAAACAGGAAGGGCAGGGGCTCTGGTGGCCAGGAGCCTGGTCGCTGGCGGGCGGCGGCAGGATAGGCTCCTTCCTGCCTGCCCCCACTGCCCACAGGGTGCCCGCCGCAGGGAGGAAAGGTGGGCTCCTCGGGGCGATGCCAAAGGCCCAGGCTGCTGCAGCCATCTCCACGAGTGCTGGGGGCTGGGAGGGCAGGGCTGGCACTGCTGCACATTCAGGTCGGGGCCTGGTGCTGGCCGGCGGGGGGCCAGGCCCGGCTGCCACACCCACACCTTGGGTCCACCAGCTGGTTTCCGACAGATCCCACGGCCCCACTCCCCTCCTCAAGGTTGCGCAAAACCTAGCCGCAGCTCAGCTCTCAGCTCGGGGGTTATGCAGGGGCTGGGGAGCCTCAAAGGGGCCACATCCCACCCCCACCCCCACCCGCTCCCAGCCAGACATGCCTCTATCTGCGGCCAGCTCCCCGGCTCCTGCCCTCAAGGCTGTCTGTCCTCACTGGGGGGCAGGAGCTGGGGGAGGCCAGCAGCCCTGGAGCTCCAGAGTGGAGCAGGACAGGGCCTGCAGGGTGACGGAGACCCTGGGGTGGTCTGGGCGGCAGACCTGGCCAGCCGTTCCTGGCTGTTTCCCTGACGCCCAGCCCTCAGCCTCCAAGAAGCGGACTGGCCTGAGGCCTCCTCGCCCTGCCATGTCCGGCTGGGGTGAAGCTGATGGATGCCGGCCGGAGCTCAGGGCTGTCAGATTGTACTGACTTGCCACATGTCCAACTCAGAGGAACCAGAGTGAAAGGGGAAGGAACTGGACCTCCATGTCTGGCCCCCGGGGCTGACTGGAGGGTGGGGG